TCCTCACTACCCTACCCTGCCATTCTTAGAGCACTTTCCACTTTGATCGAGTCAGTCATGTATTTTTCTGTCTTAGCTTCAGATTCTCAAGGAGAGAGCTTTAATACCGTAGGCATTCACTTCATAACTAGAATGTGTTAGTTATGCCCTCACCTTGGCTTGAGTTGAGAAAGTGGTCACTCTGATCATTTTTGGTGCAGCAGAGTTCTAGTTAAGGAAGGCCTTACCAACCTTCCTGCCTGTCAGTGAGGTGCTCACATGTGTGGATCGACAAGTTGATGAAATACGAAATTCCTCTGTGGAATGAGAGCAGGGGAAACTGAGTTACAGGATTGAGGTTGATATGCTAACATCTTTGTGTGCCAGTCCTGGGGATTGAACTCAGGGGGCCTGGGTGCTGTCCCTGAGCTTTTTTGTTCAAGGCTAGTACTATACCATTTGAGCCACAGCTCTACTTCTGGCTTTTTTGATGACTAATTGGAGATAAGAGTCTCATGGATTTTCCTGACCATGTAGGCATAAAACCATGATCTTCAGATCTCAGCCACCTGAGTAGCTAGGATTACAGATGTGAGCCACTGGCACCCAGTACATCTTTGTCTACTTGAAAAACTGAAAGGCATCTAGGTACCATAGAGAGGAAGGTGCCATTTGGAATTGCCCCCATATATAAGAGCCATTAGTGTGCATCTCTGAATGCAGAGCTTGCTTGTGAGGTTGCAAAGATAATGTGTCACTCTCTTTGCTGTCAAACATGTTCTCAGTGTCCCGGCTCCAAGATGATTGGGAACAGAGGGTGATTAACTGTGCTTGCAATCTCTGTGCCCCCCACAGATGTTTAGGGAACCACTTGAGCTTTGGTTTTGGTTGCACCATATTGTTAAATTTGCTGCCTCTTAAAATCTAGGGTTTCTATGGAACCTCCAGGTGAAACTTCAGCCCATAGTGAATCTCCTGCCAGATAAAGGCAGGCTGATGGACTTTCTTCTTCAGAGGAAGGAGTGCAAGATGGTCATCCTGTCTGTCTGCTCTCAGAGTAAGTTGACCAGTCCTTCCCCATGGGTCTGGTTCCATTAGTAGCCAGTGGTATTTATTCCTAGCTTAAAGACAGTCATCTTTTGGAATCCAACTCTTGAACTACGTATATTGCTACTTTAAACAGTCTGTGAGAAGGGAGAAGTTTAGGCCCAGGAGTTCAGGGCCAGCCAGAAAACATAGTGAGACCCCCTCCCTCCTCTCAAAAACAACTCCCCTCAACAACTAACCAAATGGCAGAATCTTGTGATATCTACCATTGTTATTTTCTTTAGTCACCAGAAAGGGATCTGGAGTGATTTTCAGGTGTTAGGTGTCTAAAACATAACATTTCTCTGAATGCCCTTTAAGGGAATGTGTGTATTCGTCTCTTTGAGATTGCTTTATCAGCAACATGCTGAAATCCCAAAGATTACACAAGCCATTTATCTGTGTGTACACTGTATCCTTTCCAGTGCTGAGTGAGTCAGACAAAGCCACACTGCCTGTGATAGCCACTGTTTTTGACAAACTCAACCAGGAGTATAAGAAGTACTTGGACGCTGAGCAGAGTTACACAATGGTGAGTTAGATGGACTATGGCAAAGACTTCCTCCCTCCTCCCCCAGCCCCATATCCTCTCAGTAGTGTGAGATTATGGTAGCATCATGTCACTGAGGTTTGATGCATCCGCAGGCCCTGCATCCACCAACTTAAGGCTACATCTCACTTAAGTGTCTACCTTCCCTGTTTTGCTGTTGTTTAAAATTTTTAAATCTATGTTTGATCTTACATGTAGGTAGATCCTCGGTCTGGGCTTTGCATTATTTTATATGAGCCTGGATATTATTAGTCCTGAACTGTGGATATGGCTAAACAAAAAGCCCAGAGCTCCACTGTGCTTTGGCTGTTTGGGGATGGCAGGTCTGAAGCAGACTGTGGAAGGCTGCTGGGCTTTGCTAGGCCTTGCCTAGTCCTGTCGCTGGTACCGAGCTGTAGGAATCGATAGGTCTGACCTCTCCAGCAGTTTCTGAAGAGCTTCCCTGCACTGTGGCTGTCAGATTTCATGAGCCCTCAGCACTGAAGTGTGATCCTCTCACCAAAGATACAAGGGGCTCTGGGACTGTAGAAGCAAAGGGTTTTGGCCTGAACCACAGCTGCAGAATCCATGGAGGGGGGTCCAGTGATTTGAAACATGGAAAGCCACCAGGGTCTTCTTGCAGCTCTTGCTATATTTAGGGGTCTCAGGATTACTACTTACAAATCCTGATACAACAAAATTCAACAAAAACTTGGATTTGTGTTAAGAGCCATTCATTTATTGTCGGCTAGAGCTTTATTAACAAGGAAGGCAACTAGTTAGCTATTTCATTTTTATTACATATCAAATGCTATTTAATCCAGGGTTAAGAAAATTAGACTTTTGAGAAGTTAGGAAAAATGTGACTTGGGCTGATTTAATCCCTCCCCACCCCACCCACCTCCCTCCCTCCCCCTTGAGATTTGAAGTCTTTTCTAGATGACCAACTATTCCCAGCTAGTGTGGGAAAAGTTTCTTCTAAGCAGTGAGATCATGGTCTTCTCTTGTAAAGTTCACACCTAGGAATTCGGTCCTTTTGGCAACAGCAGTTGAACAACTGCTTTAGAAGATGGGTAAGGTCACCATTTGTGATTATTTCAGGCAGTGGAAGCAGGGCAAAGCCGGAGCAACCCACCTCTCAAAAGGCCAGTGCGGACCCAAGCCGTGGTGGATCAGTCTGATGTGTATACCCATGTGCTGTCACCATTCACGGAGAACAAGGTATGCTGCAGCCTTTCAGCCTCTCAGCCTGAGTTCTCCAGATGGGGAGTTGTGGGCAATAGCAGGATGCACTGTAATAGACAGGCCGTCTTAGCGGAGGGCCTGGTGCTCTCAAGTTCAAGTTGACTCTGATACTCGGATCTAAGAAATAATCACATGTGGTTAAACAGTACCCTGGGCCCCTTTATGGTGGGAAGCAGAAGGGTGGGTGGGGATAGGAGTTAGAAGTAGCTCCTTTTGCATCTCTGACATTAACAAAGCTTTTTCTTCTGTGCAGGAGATGCCACATAAGTTTGTGATAGCTGTGCTGATGGAGTATATTCGCTCGCTGAACCAGTTTCAGATCGCAGTACAGGTACCTTCAAATCCTCGTGGCATCCTGAATGAGAGGAGCTACAGAGAAGCAGTGTCCATCTTCAGTTAGGGAGAGACTTGGGTTAGAAAGGTCTATATATATGCAGAATGTTGTGAGTGCTCTGCATTGAAGATACTTGTTGTCAGCTGTAACTTCTGCCTGTGAGTTAGGGAGCCACAGTCCCAGCCAGCTTTCAGTCTTTTGTGCCAGGGGGATTTGGAAATGCCTTGTCCTTTCTTTTGTTCCCAGCACTATTTACACGAACTTGTCATCAAGACACTCGTCCAGCATAATCTCTTCTACATGCTCCACCAGTTTCTGCAGTACCATGTGCTCAGTGACTCCAAGCCATTGGTGGGTATCACTAGAATCTTACTTTTTGTGATTAGAAACAGAAGACTATGACCTTCCTGCTGAAGCTAGTCTGGCACTGTCTTTCAGGCCTGTTTGCTGTTGTCCCTAGAGAGTTTTTATCCTCCGGCCCATCAGCTGTCTCTGGATATGTTGAAGGTAACCTTTGCTCATCATAGCTTCTGACCACATGAAAGTCCCTTCCTGTTGCCTGTCCTGATCTGCATCTGTCTCCCTTCCTTCCAGCGACTTTCAACAGCAAATGATGAAATAGTGGAAGTTCTTCTATCCAAACACCAAGTGTTAGCTGCCTTAAGGTTTATCCGGGGTATTGGTGGCCATGACAACATTTCTGCCCGGAAATTTTTAGATGCTGCAAAGCAGACTGAAGACAACATGCTTTTCTACACAATATTCCGGTTTTTTGAACAGCGAAACCAGCGTTTGCGAGGGAACCCAAGTTTCACACCAGGTAAGAGTAAGTAGCTGTGGCTACCTGGAGGAACAAACGGAGGAGTAGCAGGTCATACTTTTGGGTATGTAGCCCCTTAGTGAGGAGGATTCCTGGATTGGCTTTTGTGTGGAGTTTGTAAGAGCCTGCCTAGCCCACAACTTGGAGTCGAGTAGATCTGCACACTGGCAGGATCTGAAGGTACTTGCAGTGGAGATGTTTATGGTCAAAACATTCAGCAACCACTGTGGGCAATCTAGACACTGTGACAATAAGTTTCAGTATTGGATAAAAAGCACGGGCCAATTCTTTTCATCTCTAAAATAGTGGTAAGATCTGAGGTTGGTTTCTTTAGGAAGGAGAGGAACAGAGTTCTGAGACCATAGGTTGGACAGATGAGAGTCCCTCTTTCACTTTTTTAGGGTTGAGAAGGTACCTGTTTTGCAACAAGAGGGGCCACCCCAAAATGTAGGAAAACAAGGTATTTTATTACAAAACAACTTTAAAGCCTCGGACACAACTTATGAGGTACTGTCTTTGTTCTTTTGTAGGAGAACACTGTGAAGACCATGTTGCTTTTTTCAAACAGGTGTTTGGAGATCAAGCTCTGAGGCCCACAACATCCTGAAACTACTAGTTTTTTTTATATAAAAATGTGTACAAAGTTAATTTATTGCATTAATAAATCTCTTTAAACTACAAAATGTTATTAAAGTGTATCTACAACATCTGGACTAAAAATATGGCATAGAACATGTTTGTCGGCTCCCTCCTAAACAACAGGAGACAGGGCCTAGATTGGCCTGTAAAAAGGGTCAGTTAGTAGGCTGCACTCACAGATCAATGTGACCTTCCTCTTGCCCAAGGTCAATTTTTCCGAAGAAGCTTTAGTGTCCCAAAATCACCTTCAGATTTCACAATACTGCTTCACAAGTCAAGCATGCGGTCCTGAGTCTGGAGCTGCTGTGACAGCCCAATCACCAGTGGTAACTGACAGTCCTTAGAAACAGTTCATTCAAGTTCATTACCACACCCTGAGGGAGGCTAGAAATTCAGGAGTCGCTCTCGCTCTGTGCCTTTGTACGGATCTTGAGTGGTATGTCTTTTAGCTTTATTCACTGATGGTCCTATAAAAAAAAAAGTAATTTAGACTTATTTTCTCTATTAAATAATCTCAGAGATGCCCACATCCCCCTTTTGGTAGTACTACTTGTTAGGCCAGCACTAAGTCAGTACTATACTGTTTTCAACCAGGAGTCATGAATACGAGGCAGAGTAATCAGAGATAAGGACAATCTCCAATTAAGAAGAATAGCAGAGGCAGTATTTAAGCATTCAGGGAAGTGAGCTGCTCTCCAGCTCTGCTCAGGTTCTGGTCTGGCTGTACTCATACATCTCTCAGTAGCAGTGTGGGCCCTGGAACCAGCAAACCTTCAAATTGGCTTAAAATCTGACTTTAAAAGGCTTTTGTTACACAAATAAATGGGGCCTCCAAAAAAACACGTCAGTGATTTCTATTGAAAGAGTTGGTACAATCACGAAATCTCTGGACAGAAATGTCCCTTTAGTCCCCTACTCCATTTTTTTCTTCTTTCAGCTCTTTTTGAATTGAGGGTCTTTGTGCTTGCTTGGCTGGTGCTTGATCTGTGCCTCCAGCATTTTTGCTGTGATTGGAAATGATCAGAGTCTGGCAGACCTTTTTTTGCCCAGGATGGCTTTGAACTATGATAACTGGATCTCAGCTTCCTGAGTAACTAGGTGTAAAACACTGGCACCTGGCTGTTACCCTCTTAAAGACAATTGTTACTCAGTGGTATTTATGAAATGACAATTAGTACAAGTACTTAAAAAATGTTCTAAGACTTTTTCTTTTTTTTGTCGGTCATGGGGCTTGAACTCTGGGCCTGGGCGCTGTCCCTCAGCTCTTCAGCTCAAGGCGAGCGCTCTACCACTTGAGCTACAGCACCACTTCCGGTTTTCTGGTGGTTTACTGGAGATAGGAGTCTCATGGTCTCTCCTGCCCGGGCTGGCTTTGAACCGTGATCCTCAGATCTCAGCCTCCTGAGTAGCTAGGATTACAGGCGTGAGCCACCAGCACCCGGCGACTTTTTCTTTTAGTGATATGTATCCTCCTGTGCCACCTGTTAAAAAATAACTCACCTATATAACTGAGTAAGACGGGGAGAAAAATGAGTCCATGCGCGGCTCCCAGTAAGACCATAGCCAAATACATTCTGAAGTAAAATATCTGGAAAATTTGAGATTTGGCAAAGGCTAGCACCACAATCCCTCCAAATTTTGTAAGTGTGATTCCACTGAATACCTAAAAGAAGAGATAAATTATTAACATCATTAACATCTCCATATACAACGACATTTTTTTTATTCTTTTGGTCAATTGTGGGGCTTGAACTCTGGGCTTGGGCACTGTCCCTCAGCTCTTCAGCTCAAGGCGAGCGCTCTACCGCTTGACCCACAGTGCCACTTCCAGTTTTCTAGTGGTTTATTGGAGATAAGAGTCTCATGAACTTTCCTGCCCTGGCTGGCTTTGAACCTCGATCCTCAGATCTCAGCCTCCTGAGGAGGTAGGATTACAGGCGTGAGCCACCAGCCCCCGGGCTCAACTGACATCTTCATATTCAAGATCCACATGCTATAGGACAGCTTTCCCAGTTACTGAGAGTAGCACTGCGTTCCACCTACATTGTACCTGCTGCTCTATGAGTCTGGAGGAAAAGTTTTAAGAAGGTATTTTAAGGGCAAAAGGTGTGTATTTCTCATACATACTGTCTTCTATTTTTAAACTAAAGTTTTAAGGTTTTTTTTTTTTTATTTTGAGACAAGGTTATATAGTCCAGGCAGGCTTCAAACTTGTGATTCTCCTGTGTTTGGATTTTGGGTGTTGTCCACCCATAATGTTCAACTGTGGTCATTACACTTTTAATGGTGTTTGATTTTTTTTTAAGTGTCACAGTAACTTCTGGTCTATATTCCAGGATACAGAATTGGACTAAGAACCCCAGACAGACATCAAGTACAGTTTGTCACTGGGTCCTGGAGCATAGTGGCTTCATTGCATGCCAGTTCAGTTCTAAAGAATTTGTGGGCTATACAGGAGATAGCCATCTTGTGGAATTTGTGATCCTTGGGAGCTGCAGCCTAATTAGAATCCAAATTCTGACCCACTGAACTTAATTTCTTCTGAGAGTCATTAGGCCACCTAACATGCTGCCCCGCCTGCCCACACTAAGAAGGACACTCACAGAGCTCCCCATGTGAGCCAGTGCCTCTTCAGCACGGTCCACGCGACTTCCTTTCTTGCTCACTGTAAATGCTCTTGTTATGTGGCTGCAGAACTCCACGGAAATGCCACAGCTCTGGAATAAAGTGCTTTCATAAGTTACAATGATCTTTCCAGTTGGAGATCCAAAGCAGCTATTCCTTGCCCAAGAGAGAAGCGTTACCAGGCACCTGGTGCTACAGGAGCCTTAAAGCACCCCTTTCACAATACAACTCCCACCACCCTGTCACACACCCAAGTTGTAGCAGGAACATTCTAGGATCCTAAGGAGAGTTTGCCTCACCCCCCCACCCCAAACCAGCACACGTATCAATCCAAGACTTCCCCATCTGAAAGCACAGATGCAGGTTTCACCTTCCACTAGCAACCACCCATAATCTCCAATACTTGCTGGCAATGGTAGAGAAGGCTCCATAGGGAAGGCAACTTTATAAGCAAACAGTGAACACCCTGCTGTCACTGCAAGCCTTTCCAGTACCTTCGGAATAAAGGCGGAGGACTGGAGCTAATCTTACCACATTTCCACACTAGTTACTATGGCTGCAAGCAAAAGGTTTAGAAGAACGAAACAAATTCATTTTTTTTTAGTTTGAGACAGGAGGCTTAAAAGTTTGAGGCCAGTGTGCACAACCCAGGGTGCCAGGAAACTTGAGCTCCTCCGATCTCAGCCTCCTGAGTGCTGAGATGATAGGGGTTGAGTAACTGCTTCTACCTCCCTTGATGCGCCCCGTGCCCTGCCCTGCCTCTGTGCAGTGCTCATTTCACTCACTGGGGCACTGAGTTAAGAGGCAGCCCAAGAGCAAGAGGGTTCCTTCAGAGCTTATGTGGAATCAATCCACACGGGTGACACAGGAGTCCAGGACAAAATAAAGAGTAGGCTAGGACTCACCATCACCAAATTGACCAAGGAAACTGCGTTCAGGCTGATGCCCCACAGCCACATAACGCCAAACATGTTGACCAGGATCATGGCGATGGTGACACACATGATGACTGCAGACCACAGGTCACAGCCCAGAACCACCATGGTCACCAGAAATATGGATCCCAGGGACATGCTGAGGTTGAAGATGGCGTCATCAATAATGGTCAGGTACTGTTCGTAGAAGACGTAAAACACACTGGGGAGGAAGAGGAGTACGGTTACAGCTTGCGCTGGCTCCTGGGAGCTCGCCTAGTTCCCTGCCACACCTGCAAATCTGTGCGACCACACCACTCAAGACTGAGCACCCCTCCCTGGCTTTACAATTCAGGGAGATTTCTGCTGGGCCCCAACCACTGAAGGAGTGCCTGGTAAGATTCCAAAGCATGCATTTTATAAATTGCCATAAAATTGTATATAAAATTGCTATAGTCCTATAGGACATTGACAGCGGTGGGATAGGAAAGCACTTGTTTCTTTTATCTTTCTCTATTTTTCAAATTTCATACATAATCATCTTCTTGGCAGGGCAAAACAAAAAAAACCCCAACAACCTTAATAAAAAGTCTGCCTATTCTAGGTCATGAGAAGACAGGGATTCCATCAGCTGAGGGCTGATAGAACAGGCCTGCTCTTCAAACCCTGGCCTGCACGATTTTACAATGAGACTCTCAGGTGTGACCCAGCACAGATCGAGTTGTTTGCACCTCTCAGACCATGGTAGAGACTCCAATTCTATCTAGCATGTGTTCAATGTATTTATATTGTCTCTGGGGCTCAGGATGGCACAGGTGTCCAAAGCAAAGCTGAAGGCTAGTATCCTACCAGGGCAAATCCTCCCCTCCCCCCCTCCCCCACCAGGGTTAGACCCTTTTCCCAGGAAACGCTTGTTTATAAAATCCCCACGTTACCTGTATGGGAACACACGGTAATTACTACCCTTCATGCCCATGGTTTTGGTGATGTTACTGGCTACAAGTTGAGCCTTTTTCATGGCATCAATAAAGTCCGCAGAGGTCTGAAGCACGGTGTGGTAGGTCATGAAGTACGTGGCTCCTACACCGGTGTCATTGCCAAGGATGTTAACTGCTGAGCTGTAAGCAGCGTGTCCCCTGAGAAAGAGCCGTGGGTATCAGGAAGGTCATGACTTCTAAAACATGGGCTTCATCTGAGTCCTCCCAGCACAGTGAAGCCACCTGACCTAGCCCAGACACCAGCCAGAGGAAGGACGCTTCCTGGTCAGGGAATGTAGAAGACTGAATTATTTCCACCCAGACGGACTTTTCTTTGCTGGCGTGGTTTTCTGGATCACAGTGGCTATTGTTTCTCTATCTGGTTCCACTCATAATCAAACATGTTCTGATATGGGTTTACTCAGTGCTATTATATACGATAGGGAGGAGGGAAGGGCCTGGACTCACACTCAGCCATGCCAAGGAACAACCGCATGAGCCTGGCAGAGCTCCTCACCTGGGCCTAGGCTACCAGATCTAGGAATGGCATACCACCACATGCCCATGGGCTGGGTGGTGCACACTGCAGTAAGGTCAGGGGGCACATGACCCTGCATACTGAATCTCTCCCAAAGTGGTGGCTACTGCCATCATCACAACTGAATTTACTTCAGTTTGATGTCCAGAGTACAAGTGCTATAAGCAAAATAAATTGCAAGATCCATTTCTACTTTTAGGATACTTCTTTAAGATTTTTTTTTGGGGGGGCCTTGAACTCAGGGCCTGGGTGCTGTGCCTGAGCTCTTTTGCTCGAGGCTAGCGCTCTATCACTTTGGGCCACAGCTCCACTTCTTTTTTTTTTTCCTTTTCTTTTCCCTTTTATTTTTTTTAATGTCAATCATGGGGCTTGAACTCTGGGCCTGGGCTCTGTCCCTGAGCTCTTTAGCTCAAGGCGAGAGCTCTACCACTTGAGCCACATGCATGCAAGGTAAGCACTCTACCACTGAGCCACCTTCCCAGCCCCATCCACTTCTGACTTTTGAGTAGTTAAGCCGAGTTAAGAATCTCCTGGGGCCTTTTCTACCTGGGGTGGCTTTGAACTGTGATCCTCAGATCTCAGTCTCCTGAGTAGCTAGCATTACAGATGTAAGGATTACATGGCTAGCTAGGACACTTCTTCAAGACTTTGCATATGTTGTCTCATAGCGCTCTGGGACATAGGGCTCTAGGAAAACGTTTATTTTTACAGAAACCAAGTTTACTGAATATACATTGTATGACCATCTAGCAATAAAAGCTCCCAAATCAACCTCTAGGCTTCTAGCCATCTTTACTATTTCTGGGCCAGATGTCTGGGACAACTGGCCAGCTGGCTGGATAGTGGAATGAAAGTGTGTACCCTCACATATGGCCAGGCTGGCAAGGAGCATGCTAGGGTTAACAGTCTTAATCCTTAACCTGTGATGACATTAGCAAAGCAAAGGTGTGGCTCTTTATATCCACTGGCACAATGAGACAGATTGGCTTTTTTTTTTTTTTAAGACTCTGGAATTCCAGCACATCTATCCTCTTTGTCTCCACTCCTCACATAAAATGCACAGGAATTTGTCCCATTCAATATCCTGGGAGGAGGAGACAGCAGCATAAGAAACCAGTGCCCAGGTCAGGGTGAAAACTAAGAGGAATTTTCCTCTTATTTCACAGGATTGAAACGGTAGCAAAGGGTCCCTTTCCTGTCAACTCTCAATTCAATTCTCTGGCTGAAGTAGATGCTTATCCAGCACAGATCAATGGCACTTACCCTTTGCCACACTTGGGGTTAGGGTTGTCAGAAAGGAACATGGGCAGGAATTTCATGAAGTCTCCACCCTGTGGCCTCTGTTTGCCTTCTGGAGTCAGAGGCCGGCAGCGGATGCATTCAGGGTTAACCACTGGCAGAAACAAAGTTGGGAGCAAACTGTTAGAAGAACAGGCCTCCAGATTTAAAACAAAACAAAACTTTTAAAAGAATGAAGGAAAGTATTTCCTGAATCTTTTCCTTAGTCCAAAAGCTTCAGCCATATGTGACTTTTGTACTTCAGTAGATTTAATAATTAGTTTCATCTTGGACTGAGGGCATGGCTTAGTGGTAGAGCATCTGCCTGGCAAATCTAAGACCCACGGTAAAACCCCACTATTAGCAAAACAGTGAATGACTGAGGAAAGGGATAATGACAAAGGAAATGAGAGTCAGCATTGGTATATAAACAGGCAACATGAGAAAGACTGGTAAATGATATTTAAAATCTAAAAAAGAAAAAAAAATGAAAGGAAATGTCTGGAAGAGGAGGAGAAAGTACCAGAAGCATTGCAGAACTGGTCAGTGCTATTGTAGACTCTACAGCAGGAAGACTGTGGCTTCACCCAGTCAAAATAATCATCAATCCAGGATGAAGGAGCAAAGCCAATCCGGGTGCTAGAGAAAAGGAGAGAGAAAATTACTAACTTGCCCCAATTTCTATACTTTTCCCTTTTCTATACTTTATACTTCTATCAGTCAATATAAAAACTACAAGCATTCATTAAAAACAAAAACGTAAACTTTCAAAGTACTAAGTGGTAAAGGAATTCTTTGAAAGGGTTTGCTCAGCTAAAGCTCAAGTTAACATGCTTTTTACTAAAACCAACTTTTAAAAACAAAATCTGTTTTCAGTAAGAAACTTCAGGCCCAAATTAATTAGAGCCAAGAGCCCCTTCCAGCTGCTTCAGTGAAGTACAAGAGGACCAGGTGGCCAGGTACTGACTAGTTGTCCAGCTGCGCCGCGTTAAATATCTGCTGCACCAGGGAGTCGTTGTCGCAGCCCATGCCTCCGCACACCATGTTCTGCCCCTCCTGGGAAGTGTAATCATGACCCTCTTCTAAGACAAAGTACACAGGTGGACCCGAGTGCAGGTACTGCTTGAGGGATCTGAAATAATCTGTGACGTAGGAGTCCTGAAAGACCAATAAGGAGAGAAACAAGTATGAATGTTCTAATGGTACTAAGCAAGGTGGTGATTGCTAAGAATAAAGAGGGCACCAGGAAGCCAAGATGTGTGAATGTTTTTCCCTCAGTCCCAAGATGCTTCTCCCGCTATCCCGATCAGAGCAGCACCATTGTAAGGTAGCCTCGGAACCCAGACAAACACAGTCTATAGCTATGCTCCGAAGGGCAGTTGAGAGTTCATAAGGCCAGAGCGACCCACACCGCATAGCTTTGTGGTTGCTGCCATTTCCTTGAACCTGTTTGTGTTTAGAAATGGGCATTAGCACCCACACACATGCTACACAGAGTAAAAAAGAACGCCTCTTACATTTGGCATTGAAAGAGACTGATCCAATCCAATTTCGACCTTATTCAGGACCGCAATACTGAATGACAGAATACCCACAAATACAGCTATCTGGAAGGGAGGGGGGGGGAAGAAAGACAGTGATTGCTTAGAATAATAATGAGTTTAAAAACAGTTTAAAACAAGGTATCGCTCAAGTGGTAGTCAAACTCCAGTACCACCCAAACCAACCAGAAATATAATCTTACATACACACATAAAACAGGACTCCCACCATGCTCCTTTGCTGGCGATTGAACCTAGGGCCTTGAAAATACTAGGCAAATACTCTACCACTGAGTTATACCTCTCGTCCTCACATCAGATTTTTCCAAAATGAAAAAGCAAGTTTAAATGACATGCTATACCAACAGGAAGTTTAGGGTAGTGGTATTAAATGAGTCACTTACTCTCTCTCAGCTTAGAAACGATATTCTTTTAGCAGAGAAATGAGAAATGCTCTCTGTTGGCCACATGTATATAAACTATGAAATGCTCCTGTGTGGTGCTGGGGACTAGGTGTGCAGATGCTACAGGAGACCTGGGTGGTCATGGGACAGGTGTGCATCTTGCATGCAGTGAAAGTGAAGGAACCCAGACAGGTGATAAAAAAAAAAAATCAGGGGCTGGGAAGGTGGCTCAGTGGTAGAGCGCTTGCCTTGCATGCCTGAGGCCCTGGGTTCGATTCCCCAGCACCACATAAGCAAAAAGAAAAAAGCCGGAAGTGGTGCTGTGGCTCAAGTGGGAGGGACAGCGCCCAGACCTAGAATTCAGGCCCACGACCAGATCAAAAACAAAAAAAAAAAATTCAAAGAACCACACAGGTACATTGTGCCAATGTCAAATTCCTGGTTTGAGGTTAAGCTTAGTGCTAAACACATTCTTAGCATGTGAAAGGCCCTGGGTTCAATCCCAAGCAATTCTCCCCCATCTCCCCCTGAATATGGTCTGATACTATAGTACTGAATATGTAAGATGGACCATTTCAGAGAACCAGGTGAAGGACAGCTGGGAGCCATCTGTTCTATCTTTGCAACAGTCAGTGAATTTATAATTGTTTCAAAATAAGGTTTTGGCACTGGTCAAATAAAAACTCAAAAGCTGGGTCTGGGAAGGTGGCTCAGTGGTAGAGTGCTTGCCTTGCATGCATGAGGCCCTGGGTTCGATTCCTCAGCACCACATAAACAGAAAAAGCCAGAAGTGGCGCTATGGCGCAACGGGCTCAAGGGGTAGAGTCCTCGCCTTGAGCTGAAGAGCTGAGGGACAGCGCCCAGGCCCAGAGTTTAGGCCCCATGACTGGCAAAAAAAAACAAAAAACAAAAAAAAACCACCTCAAAAGCTATTGCTTATAATGACATAAAATCTTGCTTGGGAAAGGCTTTGTGCAGACTTGCTTTTGCATTTGTGCATACATACTAGCGCGGTCAGACGCTTCCATCCCAGCTATGTGGTTTCACCAAAGACATGTGACACGTTTTGGGGAGAAGAGAGAGAAACCACAGGAAAGCTCATACCACAATGGGACGCATCCAGTCCTTCAGCAGAAACGGAGAATAGGAGTTTTTGAAGAAACGAAACAGGAAGCTGTCAGAGGCCTGGACGCTTCTTCCGTCTGCAGCGCCTCTGACACAGCAGAGGATGTCCAGCTGGTTTTTCTGAGGGGACGAAGAGGAAAATAGGTCACAGAATAATCCTCCGGGTTTCTTAATCTAGACTGTATGCTCAAAGTAAGTAGCTTAGGATCCTGATAATAACTCACCTCTTGCCGCTTAATGTCTAACCCCAAGAGGCTCACAAAACAGGTTATCTGAAGAAGGAAGTCAATTAAGATTGCCATTCCCGCAAACAGAGAGAAAGTATGAACAGCTGGCATTGTTGACAGTGCGCCTACAGGGAGAGAAAGCTGTGTTATGCCACCTGCAGAGTTGAGGACTCTGGAGTCACGTGAGTCCTATCTTCAAGTGAACACATAGATTCAAGGAGGCTCCAGCCAGCACAGGCTCAAGGCAGGAGGAGTGCCACATCAGCATGACTGTCACTTCAGAATAGGGAGAAGAGACGATCCTATGAGCTAAGCCTTTTTTTGAAAATAAATTCAGAACTAGAGTACGTGGGTAGTAGCTTTCTAGGCCCTAGCCCATCCTACTTAACCAAGACAGGGGAATTCAACTCTCATTCTACTGAATTTAACAAGGTCTCTGGTAAATTTGTATGGATTTAAGATTTGATCATCACAGCTGGGTGCTGGTGGCTCACGCCTATAATCCTACCTACTCAGAAGGCTGAGACCTGAGGACTGTGATCTAAAATCAGGGAAGTCAGTTGAGGCTGTCTTCAGTGAACTACCAAAAAGCTGAAAGTAGAGCTATGGCTTGAGTGGTAAAGCGCTAGCCTTGAACAAAGCAACTCTGGGACAGTGTTCAGGCCCTGAGTTCAAGCCCCAAGACCAGTGTCAATGCCCGCGCCAGCACACCCCTCCTACCCCCAAGGACTTGATCATAAATATAGGCCTTTTTGATTTTTTGCCAGTCCTGTGGCTTGAACTCAGGGCCTGGGTTCTGTCCCTGAGTCTCTCTGTGTTCAAGGCTAGCACTCTACCACTTGAACCACAGTGCCACTTCCGGCTTTTTCTGTTTATGTAATACTGAGGAACGGAACTCAGGGCTTCATACATGTTAGGCTATCACTCTACCACTAAGCTACATTCCCAGCCCTAGGCCATTTTTTATAGTACCTAGTATGCTCCACTTTTAGAGGGACCGTGTTTTCCATCTGCTGATTTATTAGTAATATACATCTCTCAATTTAGTTATTGTTAGAGGTAATGTACAATCAAAGCAGGGTGTTCCAAATCAAATGTGCAGGACTGCACTCAGAAACTGCAAACTAGCAGATCACATGCATCCTGCCTGTCCCACACCATACTGATCCGTTTTTAGACGAAAAGTATTTTCTAATAGGTTGCTGGTACTTATCAGTGAAATAGCATTTCCAAAAGATACCTAAATTCACAGCTTTGGGAAGAAGAATCAAGACTCTGCAACCCTGGGCTGGTCATTCGTCACTGCCAGGCACCCTGTCCCAGTTGGTTTGCCAAGGGCACACCAACCTTGAGGCACAGTCCCGGCTATTACTGCTGCTCTTGCACTGATTTTCTCATAAGACAACATAAAGAATGTTTGTTTCACTGCCCGTGTCTATCAAAAGGAACAATAAGGCCCAGCTTTTGCAAGCACACTGCTTTGTGGAATTGAAGGGCCACACGGTGCTGGTGCATGTGTGTTGAAAGACCACCACCTGTGTTGAAAGACCAGCACCTGAACAATCCTCCAGTGGCTGGCATAAGGTGATGTGGTAGCCTGCAGGCTCTGCAGCTGTGGCATGTGCCTTCTCTGGCTGGTGGGATTCTAATTCAGTCTCCTTTGCAGAGGTGCCAAGTGCCTCTAAGAGATGTGGCAAGCCGGCCCCCCAACTTGTGACCTTGGTGATGTCTTCTTGAAATTTTGTTCCCATTCATTCTGACTCCTTGTATTGAGGTAAGGTGCAAGAATATCAGCTCACTAATGAGGCTATTCCAAGACTGTGCAAGGCAGAGGAAGCCTGTGTGAAAACAAAGGCACCAGCTTCTGCCTGCTACTTTGTGTCATGTTGAAGACAATCTGGTCATGCTCTGAGCTGTAACCTCAGCACTGTCCTAAACTAATACTGACAAAGGAGACACTTGTAAAATCACACTCATACCTCTGCCACCAATTTTTCTTGTGGTCCACTCAGTGACATTTTTTCAAAGGAATAGTTTCCAAAAGGAAGCAACACAGAGGAGTATATTCAGAAGCCCAATCAGTGCCTTTTCCTCAGGCTCAGCAAACCACAGGACTGGTGCAGTTTAAAGCCTAATTACCAAGGAAGAATGCTGATGTCTCGCAAAAGGAAGACAGGAACATAGTAGGAGCCACTTCTCCCAGGACCCTGCCCAGCTGCTGATCCAAGGTTTCCCCTTGAAGACGTTCATCTCTCTTAAAGAAAAAAAAAATCAAATATACAACATTAGAACTGCTCAGTCAGCAATGATGTCACCTCTTTGCTACCTTGTACTAACTAAAAATGATTTGTAGATAATTAGCACTATCCCAAACCATATAAACTTTTATGGATGAGTCTAAAGTTCTTAGGTTAATTGATTCAGAGTACTTTTTCTTTATTGTGAAAAAACTGTACAGAGGGGTTACAATTACATGGGCAAGATAATGAGTACATTTCTTATCAAGCATTGTAGCCTCCTCCTTTGTTTGATTCAGAGTACTTTTGAACTAACGGCTCAGCCACCAGATGGGAAAAGTGAGAAAGACTGAATCATGTCATTAGACAATATGGTGCACAGATTGCCAGCAGCTGGACCACTAGATCACTCTTGTCTTAGCAACATTGAGACACTTCTCAGTGGTGTGAGCACTGGGGCTTGAATTTGGCCTTGTGCTTGGATTTTTCACTTATAGTTACATGCTACCACTAGAGTCAAACTTCCAGTTCCAAGATCAAGACACTTTCTACCTCAGCCACATCACATCTACATGTGTTGATCTTATGCCTTTTTCTCATAGATATTCCTGCCTGGGCTCGCTTCACGCCATAATCCTCAGATCTCAACTTCCTGAGTGCTAGGATTACAGGAGTGAGCCACTCCTACATAATATGCTGAGAGTCATTTAAATAACATTTCATCCAAATATGTTGACCTCTTATTGCACGCATGTGAGAAGATACTACTTAAAACCAAATTCTCACTTTCTATATATTCCATCACCAAAATGTGCAGAAGAAAACAGACTCCAGTGCTGGGAAAGGACAGAAAGGATCTACACTGCCCTCACAGAGGCAGAAACGAACAGCCAGTGATAGAGCCCAGTTTCCGGACAAAGCTGAGTTCCAGCAGGTGACACGTACCTGGTAAGTCTGCACAAGAATGAAGATGTTGTCCACTCCCACTGCTAACACCAGAAACGGGATGACTTCAATTACAATGAGGGTCAGCGGGGTCCCAATGTAGCTGAAGATGCCCAATGAGCAGGCCACTGAGCTCAGCACAATCAGGATCCCTGCGATGCCTAGGGAGATCTTAGAGTCCACCTGACAGACAAGGACAGGAGCCATCAGAGGACTTTTGGCTGCATTTGTTATTAATAGGCCCTCATGGTTACTTTGCACCTATAGCAACCAACCTGGAGTTTAAAGTATTATGCTCAGTTTGAGTTTTTTTTTTTTTTTTGCTGGTCCTGGAGCTTGAACTCAGGGCCTGGGCACTGTCCCTGAGCTTCCCTGTGCTCAAGGTTAGTGCTCTACCACTTGAGCCACAGCACCACTTCTGGCTTTTTCTGCTTATGTGATACTGAGGAATCGAACCCAAGGTTTCATGTATGTTAGGCAAGCGCTTTACCACTAAGCCACATTCCCAGCCAAGAAAAAAAGTTTTGAAGTCTAGGTCTTCCTTAAGAAAATATTTCATGAGCTCACATTCTTAAGTGATAGACAACTTACCAGAAAAAAAACAAAAACCCTACATTAAGTGAAACATAGGTATAAGATGAACCAAAACAAGGGATGTGAAGGATAAACCAAAGGAGGAGGCTTCAATGCTTGGTAAGAAATGTACGCATTATCCTGCCCATGTAATTGTAACCCCTCTGTACAGTATGTTCACAAATAAAAAATAAATAAATAAATAAAATTAAAAAAAAAAGATGAACCAAAACATTGGAACTGAAGAACACGATTTAGAAAACAGAAATGTTTCATACAATTAACAGTTTGCAACAAAAGGAACAATAATTCTAAGACAGTTTTGACATAAGGAATTAATAAGTAGAGGCAAAAGATGATGTCACACTCACTGTTCATTGCCATCCTTCTTTTTTTCTTTGTTGGTCATGGGGCTTGAACTTGGGGCCTGGGTGCTATCCATGAGCTGTTTTTGCTCAAGGAAAGTGCTCTACCACTTTGAGCCACAGCACCACTTCCAGTTTTCTGATGGTTAACAGGAGATAAATCTAATAGACTTTCCTGCCCAGAATGGTTTTGAACCATGGTTCTCAGATCTCAGCCTCCTGAGTAGCTAGGATTACAGGCGTGAGCCCCCAGTGCTCGGCTCTTTATTTTTTGACAGTACTAGACTTGAGCCATACCCTTCTTGCTTTTTTCTTTGCTTTGTTTTAATTGTCGGTCATGGGGCTTGAACTCTGGGCCTGGGTGCTGTCCTTGAGTTCTTCAGCTCTAGGCAGTTGCTCTACCACTTGAGCCACAGTGCCACTTCTGGTTTTCTGGTGGCTAACTGGAGATAAGAATTTCATGGACTATCCTGCCCAGGCTGGCTCTGAAGCATAGTCCTCAGATCTCAGCCTCCTGAGTAGCTAGGATTACAGGCATGAGCCAGTAGTGCCTGGCTATTTATTTTTGCTTTATTTATTTTTCAGGTAGGGTTTCATACTTTTTGCCTACTCTGGCCTTGGACTAGGATCCTCCTACTTATACCTCCCATGTAGGTGGGATTATAGTTGGGTACTACTACTCCCAGCTTGTTTGTTAAGATAGGGTCTGGCTGTTTTGAACTGGCTTCAAACCATAATCTTGATTTTTTTGTCTTCTAAATAGTTGGGATTGCACACTCCTTTCATCATCAATTACCCCTACAAACACACACACACACACACACACTTACCAGGAGCCTGCTACAGCTTTTGATGTGCCCCAGGGCAAGAGAGATGTACAGAAACATGATAGCATAGCTAATTGCAATAGTGAAGACATCACTGTTACTTTCACGATTCAGTTCATCTTCAATACTTCGTTCAGTAGTAAAAGAAATGGTGAGATTTGGATTCGAGTAGTTTTTCACAAAGTTAATAAGTCTAAAGAGCAAGCAAAAATGTATATTTTTAGTTAAAACTACATGGCGGATAAGTACAGACTTCTTCCCACCTTTATGACATGGAGGTTCACCTTTGTCCTGTATGAGGGCTTTCTACACTGGAGCGCAAAAGAAACTCTCACACTGTTATAGTCAGGCTGACTGTCTGCATTATATTATTATTATTTATTGGTAGTGCTAGGGATCAAAGCCAGGGCCTTACCCAAGCAAGGTTAAGTGCCCTATGCCTGAGCTAAATGCCCAGTGCTCAAGTCTCTATCTTTGAAGGTATCTTTAGATGTTACAGTAGACTCACCTCTCTTATACAAGTGTATGCTAAGAAATCATCAAAAAGGAAAATATTTTAAAATTACTTCATACCTTTTAAAAAAACATATCTAAAGTATACACACACTTTTTTCAAAGACAGGATTTTGCTATGTTGTTTAGCCTGGTCTTGAACTCTTGAGTTCAAGTGATCTTCCTGCTTCCGTTTCCCAAGTGTTGTGATTACAGTTACATACTGTTATGCTGGGCTTATGTGAAGTGTATTTTAAAGAACATGTATACTCATGAAATAAAATTGTAAATGTGCATCTCTCTCCTGCTCAGTCTGCCTTTCTCCCTCTCTCCCTATCCCTCCTCCCAACAGCACTAGGGTTTGAACTCAGGGGCTTGTGCTCAGTAGGCAGGAGCTCTACTGCTTGAGCCATTTAGTTATTTTTCCAATAGTGTCTCACACCAGACCAGCCTGAACCACAGTCATTCTATTTAGGTTTTTCTAGGATGACAGGCATATACTGCAATGCCCAGGTTTTGTAAGCTTTTCTGCACAAGCTTTCCATGACAACAATCCTACTGATCACAGCCTCTCTAGTAGGTAGGATCATAGGTGTGAGTCACTGCACCCAGCCTGGTTAACTTCTGATATTGATGCAAAGACTATTCACTCAATGGGAAAATATTTCCAAAATACTTTAGAAAACTAAAACTAAACCCTTATAAATCACCCAGAATCAACTCCAAATGGATCAAAGAGCTCGAAGTAAAAGCAGACACCCTGAAAATATTACAGGAAGGAATAGTAGAAACTCTAGGGCTCCTTAGTACAGGCTGAAATTTTCTTAATAGAAACCCAGAAACTCAACAAATCAAAGAAAGGTTTGACAAATGGGATTGCATGAAACTCCAGAGCTTCTGCATGGCAAAGGACATAGCTAGCAAGATCAACAGAAAGCCCACAGACTGGGAGAAGATCTTCATTTGCTATACAACAGACAAGGACTTTGTATCTAAAATATACTTAGAACTCAAAAAATTGTCACCCAAAAGTAAATTCTCAAAGAAACAACCACCCCATTAATAAGTGGGCTAAAGATTTAAAGAGTTCTCTGAAAAGGAAATAAGAATGGCCAATAGACACATGAAGAAATGCTCAACTTCTCTGGCAAATCAAACAACATTGAGATTCCACCTCACCCCAATTAGAATGGCTATAATCAAGAAATCTAATCACAACAGATGCTGGAGGGAATGTGGCCAAAAGGAAACCCTACTGCATTGTTGGTGGGAGTGTAAACCTGTTCAGCCACTCTGAAAAGCAGTATGGAGGTTCCTCAAAAGACACCACATAGGAACTGGAAAGGTGGCTCAGTGGTAGAGCGCTTGCCTTATATGCATGAGGCCCTGGGTTTGATTCTTCAGCACCACATAAGCAGAAAAAAAACCAGAAGTGGCACTGTGGCTCAAGTGGTAGAGCGTTAGCCTTGAGCTGAAGAGCTGAGGGACAGCGCACAGGCCCAGAGTTTAGGCCCCGCGACCAACAAAAAACAAAACCAACAAAAAACTACACATAGAGCTCCCTTATGACCCAGCAATCCCACTTTTGGGCATTTACTCAAATGCTTACAAACAAGACCACACTAAAGCTACCAGCACAACTATGTTTATCGCAGCATTATTTACCATAGCTAAGATATGGAACCAACCCAGATGTCCCTCAGTAGGTAAGTGGATCAAGAAAATGTGGTACATATATACGATGGAATTCTATGCTTCCATCAGAAAGAACACCACCATCCAGTTTGTTAGGAAATGGAAAGACTTGGAAAAAAATCATATTAAGTGAAGTTACCCAGTCCCAAAGAAATTTAGGTGCCATGGTTTCCCTTATTTGCAATAATTAGTATCCATATAGGACAATTATCAGATGAATTAAAAGGCTCAAAAACCATGTACAAATGACTATATAAATTGATGCTAAGTGAAATGAACCCCAAGATATGGACACAAGAGGTCTGTCTTTATTGTTACTGTTTTAAATGAACCATGTGATTTTATTTGTTGTTGTTTCCTTTGTATGTTCTTTCCTCTACGGCATATCCCCTGTTGTCACTGTACTTAATTTTGATACCCTGCATCTTGTAGATACATATGTCTAATCTGGAGAGAGGTAGGGGAATAACAAAACGCTGAAACAAGGACACAAGATGACCCACTGCAATGAAGATACCTGCTGGACAGTATATTGGAAACAAACTGTGTAACTTCAGGCAGTGAGCAGGGGGAGGGGGATAGGAGTGTGGAAGCTGGGGAGGGAAGTGATAATGGAAAAACAACAAGGAAGGGAAGGGGTAACAATGATCAACAAGTAATGTACTCACTGCCTTACTCATGTAACTAACTCCTCCGTACAACATCTTAACAATAAAAATGAAAAAAATAACAGTAATAAGATAATGCTAAAAAAAAAATTCTGTGTTTCAGAGGTCATCAAGAATACCACAAAAAGCCAGGGCACTGGTGCTCATGTGTGTAATTCTAACTACTAAGGAGGCTGAGATCCAGAGGACTGCAGTTCAAAGCCAGTTTAGGCAGAAAAGTCCAAACTCCATCTCCAAAATAATCAGCAAAAAGACAGGTTAGGGGTATGGTTGAAGTGGCAGTGCTGCAGTTGAGCAAGCAAACTGAGCCAACAACCCGAGTAAGCTCAAAGCTCTAAGTTCAAACCCCAGTACTAGCAAAAAATGCAAATAAATAGAATGCCACAAAAAAAAAAATCAAGCAAACAAACCAAAGCCACACAGAATGGGAGAAAACGGAAATCATTTACCTGATAAGACTTCTATCTAGAATATATAAATAATTTTATGGCTCAATTAAAAAATAAAAATAACCCTCAAAATGAGCAAAGGATATGAACAGACATTTCTTGAAGGAAGACGAAAATAAGCACACAAAAATGTGCTTAAAATCTTTAATCATCAGGGAAATGAAAATTAAAAAAACACAATGAAATACCACTTTGTACTCAGGAGGATGGCTAGAACTGAAAAATACAATAAAAAGTTATGTCAGATGTGGAGTCCAGCAATCCTTCCAAATTAAAGGTAGAGTTACCAGATGACCTAGCAACTAATTGTACTCTTAGGTATATAAAGAAATAAAACCTTGCATCCATAGAAAAGACTGATGACAAACATGTATAGCAGCACTATGTATAACTGCAAAAAACCAGAAGCAAAGCAAATGTATATCCACTGATAAGTAGACAATGGGATGTGCTATAGTCATATGATACGGTCATAAAAAGGCAAAAAGTACTGACACATTGTCACAGCATGGGTGAACATTGAAACATTATGCTAAGCAGAAGAAGCCAGAAATAAAAGTTCACAAATATGATTCTATTCACATAGAAGTTCTGAAGACAGGAAGTAAACTAGTGATTGGCAAAGGCTGTGTGTAAAAGGGAGGCAGGTAAGAGCTAAAGAGAACAGTCATTCATTCTAAGATAATCAAAATATTCTACAACTGACTGTGGTGGTGGCTGAGCATGAATGTGACCCAAGAAGCTTGTACACTCATCAGGTATAGCTTTTTTCTATGTGTGTGCTGGGAATGGGAATCCAGGGACTCATGCATGCCAAACAAATTCTCCACGATTGAAACTTCAGCTCCAACCTGAGTTGTAGAACTTCAGTGAGTGTATTGCATGGTTTATGAGCTATTATCTCAATGGAACTTTTTAAAAAATAATAAGGGGTAGCTGGGTGCTGGTGGCTCACACCTGTAATCCTAGCTATTCAGGAGGGCTAAGATCTGAGGATCAGTTTGAAGTCAACCTGGAAAAATTATGAACGTTTTAAAAAAGTTTGGTCATGAAGCTTGAACTCAGAGCCTGGGCACTGTCCCTGTGTGCTTTTGCTCAAGGTTAGTGTTCTACTATTTTGAGCCACCCACTTCTGATTTCTGAGTGGTTAATTGGAGATAAGAGTTTCATGGGCACTTTTCTGCCTGGGCTGTCTTTGAAACAATATGCTTAGATCTCAGCCTTTTATTAATTCTTTTTTTTTATTGTGAAAATACCATACAGAGGGGTTACAATACATGGGCAAGATAGTGAGTATATTTCTTATCAAGCATTGTTGCCTCTTCCTTTGTTTCCCCTTCCCATCCCTTCCCCTCTCCACCCCCCACTCCTCCCACACCACCACCACCACCACCACCCCCTTTTATGAACTCTTATTTCCTCCAATTAACCACCAAAAAGAGAGAAGTGGAGCTGTGGCTCCAGTAGTAGAGCGCTAGCCTTGAGCAAAAAAGCTCAGGACAGTGCCCAGGCCCTGAATTCAAAGCCCCAATACTATCAAACACACAAAATAGTGAAGGGTAAATAGAAAAAAAATTCTCATTCACCTAAGTTTCTCATTCTCCAGAGGTTAGAAATACAGAACATAGTTAGGTAAATATGCTGATTTTGCCTCTTAGTAGGCTTTGAACTATTTATTCACCTTTCTCTAATGACCACACACTATTATACTTATCTTTTACTACTGTATATTCAGGGTGTGCCAAATTTTGCTGTCTCGATACAAAGCAAGGGTTATTTTGCATAGTTATACATTCTTGTGAAAAAAATGTATGTTTAAACTTTGTATTGTTAAAAAGAAGACTTCTTAGAACCACTATACCAAGTGAAAAAAATTACGTAACTTAGGTCTGACACTGGTTTATTTAGAAGATAAAGTTCAAATGCTCACAGCAATATGTCCATTTTCCCAAACACTAGGACAGTTTGTTTACCTCCATGTGATACTCACTCTTTTTCCCAGGCCTGGGCCTTCTGGAGCTTCTCTGTGTCATTGTAGTAATTGTTGACAGGGAAGGTAATCACAAGTGCAGTGGCATTGTTGTAGTTTTGATCTAGAACAGAAAAATGTGATGTCAGAAAGCAAAGTACAGGCATGCAGAAAATTAGATATGGAGGGAAAAATGTGGATTTTTTGTTGTTGGTATTTTTTTTCTTTTGGGGGGGTAAAGGTGGAAAGGTAGGAAGGGTGAATAAAAAAAAACAGTCATGCTATTAAGTCTACACTATGTGGAAAATGGACTATATAGCTTGTGGGCAGGGATGGGAGGGGAAAACTGAGGGAAAGTGAAGGAAGGGATGATAAAATTTCAATATGTCCAAAACAGAAATGTACTCATTATCTGGCTTATGAAATGGTAACCTCTAACCTCCCCTGAATATTTTGTTATCTTAGAGATTATTCCATTTTAGTAGATAAGACTTTTTGATTAGTTTTCTTCAGTATAATATTTTCTAGTATAGTTTAACCAAGTCCCAATCAAACATTTTTTTTGGTATTTTTTTTCATAGCATTTTTTTAATTGTGAAAATACTGTACAGAGGGGTTACAATTACATGGGCAAGATAATGAGTACATTTCTTATCAAGCATTGTAGCCTCCTCC